CTTTGAGCTGTGGTGTTGGAGAAGAGTATTGAATATACTATGGACTGCCAGTAGAAAAAATAGGTTTGTCCTGGAGAGGGTTAAACCAAGCTGGTCCTTGGAGGCAAGGATTCTGAGGCTTCATCTGACGTGCTTTGGATATGTTGCAAGGAAGGATCAGTCCTTGGAGAGGGACATCATGCTTGGAAGGGTGGAGGAATAGAGAAAACGAGAGAGACCATTGATGAGATGGACTGATACATTGACTGGAGTATTGAGGGTAGGTGTGTCAGAAACAGTAAAGTTGGCACAGGATAGAGCAGGTTTCAGGGCTGTTGTACATAGGGTTGCTATGCGTTGCAAGTGTCTTGACAGCTAACAACCATTGATTAATGTATACCATTATCCCATCTTTTCCGGTCCCTACTGGAGAAGCTGAACTTTATGAGGAGGATTGTGGCATCAGGATTGGAAGAATACTCATCAATAACCTGTGTTATGCAGATGACACAACCTGGCTTGCTGAAGTTGAGGAACATTTGAAGCACTTGTTGCAGAACATCAAGGAATGTAGCTTTTGGTATGGATTGCATCTAAACATCAAGAAAACAAAGATTGGTAACCACTGGACTGATAGGCAGTGTCATGATGGCTCTAGAGGAGATTGTGCTGACTGTGTTGTTGTTGTTGGGTATTATCAAGTCAGCTACAATTTATAGTGACTTCATTTAAGCAACACATCTAAATCTTGCTCTATGCTGCCCCCTCCTCATCAACTCTGACATGGTCTGGTTCATTGTTACAGATACTGTATCTTGTCGAGGGTTTTTCTCTCTCTGATCTTCACTTATCCAAGAATGCTGTCTGTTTTCAGGGCTTGGTCTTTCTGGAAAACATGCTCAAAGTATGTGAGATCAAGTTTCCCCTCCTTGCCTCTTGGGAGCATCTTGGTTGCACTTTCTAAAAAGAAAGATTTAGTTCTTTTTGCAACCCATCCAAAGATATCAATTATTTTTCTATTATCCTTATTCATTTTTTTAACTTTCAGATGCATAAGAAACAATTGAAAAGACCATGGCTTGAATCAGGTACATCTTAATCTTTAAACTGACATCTTTGCTCTTTGGCACATTAGACAAGTCCTTGAAAGCATATTTTTTTTCAGTGCACCATGTTTTTATTTTTTATTGTTGCTACAGTGGATATTGATTGTGCATCTAAGTGAAAGGAAATTGTTGACAATACCAATCTTTCTCTATCTGTCCTGATGTTGCCTATTGGTCCAGTGGTGAAGATTTTTGTTTTCTTGATGTTGAGATGTAATCTACATAGAAGGCTCTAGTCTTTGATTTTCTGTAGCAAGTGTTTCAAGTCCTATTCACTTGTACAAGCAAGGTTGAGTCATCTGCATAATACAGGTGAGTCTTCCTTCAAACTTAATGCCACATTCTTCTTTATATAGTCCAGCTCCTTGAATAATTTGTTCAACATACAAATTGTGCAGATTTGGAGAAGAGATACAATTCTAATGCACAACTTTCTTGATTTTAAACCATGCAGTGTTCCCTTGTTCTGTATGGACAATTGCTTCTTGGTCTATATAAAAGTTTCGCATGAACACAATTAAGTGTTATGATATTTCCACTCTTCTCATTTTTCTAGTGTTCTCTATTTTCAGGTAAGATCAAGCTAATATTCCTTGTTCTGTGGTCTCTTCAGAATCTAGCTTGAATTTCTGGCAATTCCTTGTTGATATGGTGTTCCAGTCACTTTGTTGTACACCATAGAGTTGGAACAAACCCATAGCTGACTCTCCAGTGACTCTCACATGGGAGGTCATTGCCCATCCTTCTTCCACAGAGCAGCTGGTGGCCTTGAATGCCATACCTTCAGGATTGCAAGGCAGCTTCTTGCCACTAGGCCACCAGTCATAGTTGCATAATATTCAGCAGGATTTACTTGCATGTAATGTTACATGTAGTGTAGTGTACAATGTACACTGTACAATGTACAATGTAGTGTCTGTTGAAATTCCAGGTAGCTGTCTTCCAAATTTCTTGGCACAGACTAGTGAGTATATCCAGGATTACATATGCTTGCTTATTTTTAAATTTTTTTTCTTTAATGCAGGTTAAACTTCTCTCTTCATTACCATTGGTTCTGAGTCACAATCTACTTCCTGAAATGGTTCAGTGTTGACCAGTTCTTTTTGGTCCAGTGACTGTGTGTATCTTTCATCTTCAGCATTCAAAATTTTCCCCATAGAATTCTTCAGCGTTGCAGACTGAGGCTTGAATGTCTTCTTCAGTTCTTTCTGTTTGAGAAATGTAAAGTATGTTCTTTCCTTTTGGTTTTATAACCCCAGTTCTTTACACATTTAATTATAATACTTTGCCTTGTTTTCTTGAGCGACTTTTTGAAATCTTCTGTTTATCTCTCTTCTGCATTTTTTCCATTTGTTTTGGCCTTTCGGTGTTTTAATGCAAGTTTCAGAGTCTTTTCTGGCATCCATTTTTATCTTTTCTTTCTTCTCTGTCTTCGCAATGATCTTTTGCTTATTCCATGGATGATAAACCTGACGCCATACAACAGTTGTTCTCGTCTTCAATCATTAATGTTCAATGTATCAAATCTATACTCGAGACGATTTTAAAATTCAACTGGGCTAGACTCAAGGTAATTTTTTGTTCTTATAAATTTATTTTCATTTTCTTCAACTGCAATTTGAACTTGAATAATTGATGATCTGTTCTACAATCAGCCCCTAACCTGGTTTTGATAGCCAATATTAAGCTACTCCATTGACTCTTTCCATATGTGTAATCAATCGGATTCCCATGTAGTCTGTCAAGTGAGAACCATTTGTACAGTTGCTATTTGGTTTTTTTAAAGAATTCCAGCAAATAAATCATTGATTACAAAAAATTCTGTCAATCTCCAGCCTCATTTGTGTCAACAGGTCCATATATTCCAACCATTAGTTTTTCTTTTTCATTTCCAACTTTTGCATTGCAATCATCAAATATTGCTTTTTTAATCAATTTCTGACTGAAAAAGTTGATTGTTGTGTACCATTAAGTCAGAACCAACTCAGAGGCAGTAAAATGCATGAGAGGAGATTGCCCTTCTTTCTTCCACCAAGCAGCTGGGGCTTTGGACCACAAGCTCTTAGGTTTGAAATTCCTCAATTTCTTCATCTTTGACTTTACTGGTTGGTGCGTATATACTTGAAATTGTTACATAAATATTTGAGTAATAGTTATATTAACAGGATGTCCTTGTAGGCATAGTTTGACAATGGATCTAACACCATTCTTTTTCATTCCAGGCATAATAGATCTTCTAAATGTTTGGTTAAAAGTGGTCAATACCAGTTCAACTCAGCTCACTAATGTGTAGGTTGTCAATCTTTGGTGCTCCATTTCATTTTTGACAATTTCTAATTTTCTTAGATTTATGCTTCATAAAATCCAAGTTTCAATTATTAAGGCATGTTTGCAGTTGTTTCTCCTTATTGTTTAATGCCATCTAGTCTGGAAGCAGGAGTGACATCCACTTCCTAAATAAGGAAGGAGGCTTTCTGCCTCCAGAAAGTCTATGAACTTTGACAAAGGTCGATAGTTGTAGAGGGGCTTCAGGCCTTTTGTTCATAAGGTGCTCGACTCAAAGGCAATCAACAACAATCTAGTCTGAGGGCTTCTATTCTCATAACTACATCTAAAATTATTTCTCTGTTACTCATAAAATGAATGCTAGCCTAAAAATAAAAGCTAATTTAGAAGGCCCCTAATAACGTAGCATAGAATTCTGCACTCAGCTATCTTTTAGCAATGCCTGTTAACAGACTAACAAAACTCAGCTTGTCCTGATAACATAGACTTCATAGACTTGCTTTGCCCTGTGGACTCATAAAGTAAAAAAAAAAAAAAAAAGGAAGGGGGGGGAAAAGCAAAACCAAATTCCGGATGTGTGTTCAAACTCAGGAAATGAAACTGAAAGTGTTTCTTCTTTAGCTTTGAGTCTAGGAAACAGAAAGTTATCTATTTAGATGCAGCCTCAGAGAGAGAGGATGTCTATGGATATCAGTTTATGGGAGCAGAAATTTCAAGAACTGATCCGAGAGAAAAAGCCTCAGGCAAGATGGACACTGAAGTTGAATGGGAAGCTTCAGCCAGACTGTGTGGCTCCAGGGTGGAAGCAATACCAGCAGAATGCCTTTGGCAGGTAAATGAGGATTCCCCAAATTGTGGACCTTTCTGAGCCAGGTACTCCCAAACCTATCAGTTCCCGTTAAATTGACTCTCACAATGAACCCATGTGTGCTAGAGGAGAATTGTATTCCATAATGTTTCTAGTGGCTGATTTTTCTGAACTCGATTCCTAGACCCTTCTTCTGAGGAATTTCTGGGTAGATTTAAACCTCCAATCTTTTATTTTAGCAGCTGTGGTCATCCTTGTTAACCTGTTAAAGGAATAAATGACACCGGACTCTATACTAAGTGGTCATAATGTTCTTTAGAGTGTAATGGACAAAGATGTAAAAACTCATTTGACTTAACTGCAGAAAGTTTCTTCTTTTACTAGGTTGCCCTCTCTAACTCATTCTGGAAATCATTGAACAATGCCTCTTTGTCTCATAAATTCTCTCTCCTCGTCCCTCTCTACCTTGGCTATTGCATGCAGCGCTCTCCCTCGGCATGCCTGAGCCATCTCTCTAGGCAAGAGTAGCTCTCCTTGTCTCAATCAGGCCATGTTTAGGACTGGATTCTCCTTTTAATGCCCATAAATTGCCGCAGACTAAACAATCTTGTTAGGTGTAATTTTTAATTGAGGGCCTGGAGATAAGAGAAAATGGCAATCCAAAATATGCATAAATCCTTGTTTCTGAAATTTCTAAAGCATGCTCCTCCCCTCTTGAGCTCCCTCCCTGCAGACCTCCAAGTTGCAAGATCAAGTTTCTTCTCCATGCTAGGAGGGTTACAATTGTTGACCTGGACAATAAAGGCCACTTATTTTGTGATTTTAGTTAAAAGTTACAAACAGATTTTTTTATTGGTATATTGTATTGGTATTATATATTTTACAATTTGTTTTTATGTCATTAAAATCACAGTTAAAATAGACTTATTTTATTCATTCATGCATGCACATTTTGCTTCTTCTTCCTTCCTTCAAGTCACCTGTAATGCTTGTTCTAGTTCAGTTAATTGTCATACATATAATGTCTAGTTGTCCATTCCTTTCAGATTTTCCTTCCTTTCCTTCACCTATTCCAGTGCAGTGTTATTAACCATCCATTCTTCTTCTGCTCTCCGCTCCCCTCCACCAGCCCTGTTTTTTTATATGGCACATTGAAGACCTTCAGGCTGCATTTCCCATCTTATCTGTTATCCTTCTTCCTTGCCTGCCCCTCTCCTGTCTCACTTGCTCTCTGCTCCATCCCACGTCATTCCTCTCCATATTTCCATTCCCCTCTTCATGATGATCCACCTGTTTGACAGACCTTCTTCTCACCATGCTCTCATCTTTCCTATCTTTCAAGGGCCAACTCAAGTGGTCCTGCTTCCTTAAAGCCTTCTTGATGTACATCATTTAAACCATTAGAATTGTCCCAACCAGCTATGGTGTAAAAATCAAAGCCATTGAGCTGGGAAAGGTATTTTGAAAAATCCATTTACATCACAGCCTGTTGTTTAGGACTCTAAAGGACACACTTTCCCCTGCCATTTTCAGAGCCAAAGGAGCTCTAGTTTGCATGCAGAGAAACAAACTGCTAAGGTGATGACTCTGGTGGTTCGAAACCAACAACTGCTTCACAGGAAAAAGATTTGTAGTCTCCTCTCATGCAAGTTACGGTCTCCAAAGACCCGTTAGAGCTATGTGTTGGTTCCACCTAGACTTAGAGTTTTAAGTTTTACCAAGGCAGCGTAGCAGTCATTTTAGTCTGCTTTGTGTTACAGTAAACTGCATGTTTCCCTCTGCTCCAGTGAGAGTTCATTGAGAGGTGTCTGCCCCCCTCCTATCTTTTTTATATTCCCTCTAACAAGAAGGTTGTTCTCTTATCCAGATGAACTGGTTCTGTAGTCTTTCTGAGATTGATCAGAACACTTTTAGAAAAATGTGAACCAACTTTTCAAAAGGATTTTAGAGATTACAAAGTGTTTTCACATTTATGCTTTGATGCTGACAATATAAGCCTTGATTACTTCTCCTTTCATGAACTGAGGCTCAGAGGTCCCCTGAAAAGCTTTGTGTTTGACTCTATACCAATTATTATGACTTAAGGTACTTGTCTGTTTCTTTGGATGAAAACTAGCCATGCTGTTCATTAGGAGTACAATGGTAAGGGATTGCTCTGTCAACCCAAAGGCATATGGTTCAAATCTGCCATTTGCTTCACAGGAGAAAGATGGACAATCTTTTCCCATGTCATTAACTGCCTCAGAAAACCCCTGAAGGGTCACCTCTATGGGTCAGTTTCAGCTTGATGGTACTCAACAACAACAAACAACATGGTAAAAGTAGGAAGATGAGCAATGGTTTGAAACAGTTTTGGAATAGAAACGTGCCTCTACCTCTTAGGGTTTTTTAATGTTTTTAATGTACGATTCAGTTTCCTTTTCTAGAGCACCTAGTAAAACCCTCAACATATATGTAGTTGATAGATAAGGTTTTTATTACAGTAATCCAGATAAAAACAGCAAACAACACAATACTTACAACCACACTGAACATATAATTCCCTGAATGTTGTTGTTGGTAAGTGCTGTCAAGTTGTAGACAACTCATAGCAACCCTATGAATGAAAGACCTGAACAATTGTATAACTTCCATCGTTTCTTGACATTCACAGAGATTCTGGAGGCAAGCTATTTTGGAAGTGGATGCCACTCCTGCTTCCAAGCTTGTTTAAATTGGACAGCTCCACCAAACACTGTTCACCATGGGTAACTGTTATCACATTTGATGCATCCATGTCACAGTGTTCAGCTTCACAGCAACCACGAGTTACCTCTGTACAGCAAGTGGGCAGACCAGTGCTATACCACTTAGAAGAATGTTTGACCAAAACCTGTTGCAGATCGAGGGTCCCAAAGAATGGAATAATTTTATAATTATTAATAAAGAGACAAACAGCCAGGAATGTGATAGAGCAGAGAGCATAAAACAGGGGGCCAGCAGTTCTCCACTGAAGACCCCAAG